TTTTTTTTTTTTTTTTTTGTTCTGTGAAAGATAACACTATCATTTTTTCTTTAGAAAGTAAACCCACGTATAAAAAGATAATTAAAACTCAGTTATTAAGGGTTATCAACGTCGCTTTCTATGTCAGGGCGATATCAAACTCTTAAAACAGTCAGTTGAAATATTTCTAATATAAATATAATATTTCCTTTTAATTAAAATTGATTGTTTCTTCTGCAATCGTCGATTTTCACCAATTTATCGTACAATCCGTTTTCCACAAACTTACCACTAGAATCTGAATCTGTTCAGGCATTAATGTATCATAATCAAAGCAAAAGCAAAATTCACACCAGTTCTCAATACTTACACGGGTACTCAGCGTGTATCCAATGAGCAGGTATCTCCGGGGAAGGAATTTTCCAGGTGATGTTGCCAACAAGTTGTTCATTAATCGGATCATCGGTGAAACTGTAAGTGAAATTCATGGTAACCTCGGTACTTTCTGACGATATCGATAATTCGGCTCGCATGCATCTGTACGCGAGTGCTTCTTCCGAGCTTGCATAGTACTGCACTATGTACCACGATCCAAGGAACTGCAAGAAATCCACATTCTCTATTAATACAACATACGGACGTATCTTCGTTGGTAATTTACGAAGCTGTTCGCGCCTAATACTCGTTTTGTTGTTTCGCGCTGCAACGTTAATCGGAAACACTAGCCTCTCTAATGGACTCACTGCGCTACACAGTGGAAACCAAGTTCTCAAGCAAAATATAAATGCACGCGACGTTTAATAAATGCGTGCACGAGGGTAGATATTAAACTTTAAGTAATTCCGTTGATAGCGGAAGATTCACGTACATTTATCCTCAACTTGTTCTCCCATTTGTATCTAGTGTGAAATATGATCTTGATGAAAATTTCCTGATTCTAAAGTATTCGCTGTTTCGATTCAAATACACTTCATTCCTTGAAGCAGCATTTCGCGTCGTGAAAAAATAATGCACGTATTTTGGATGATCAGGATGGATAGTCGATTCCATGAGCGATTTATACAAGAGTGGAAAATTCGATATCCCAGTTTCGTGTAAATCGGTGTTTACGTGAGACAGGTCGTGCAATCGTTGCCGCGGACTGTCATCTAGTTCAACATGCAATGCAAAATTATCCCCCTTTCTCCCACTCGTGTATTCATCTCTTGCACGACGATCTATCTCTGTCTAGATCATCATTATTTTAGCTGCACGTCGATGTTAACATGCCGTAGGCAAAGCGCGAAAATTCATGTTTCACTTGTAGTTGATCTTTTTGTTCAAATCCCTGCTGACACTAAAATTAGGCGCGCGTGACAATTTCTGTATTATAGAAATTTTGTGTAAACATCATTATCATTTCCAACTTTGCCGATTTGAAATATGCTCACTCCTTCTTTTACGCGTGAAATATTAAATCGTAAATAAATGGAATCCTTAAACATTAAATTTACTATGCTATTTTTACTTAAATGGTCGCCAAGGGAAATGTCACATAGCATATATAGCACATAGCTCGCTGCTTCCTGAAGTGACGAGATCATAATGTAGTAGCTATTCCCGTTATCAGCTCCGTCTAAGAACAATCGTGAACAGAACAGTAAGTACTATACTTTCGTGAACTGCGATCCATGACTTTATCATATAAATATCACTTTATTTATATAAATATCTCGTTATTGTTCGTCAATTTTGTTAATCGTAACATTCTCATTATTCTGTCTTCAAGTTTGACAAGTAATAAATTAAGACTTGAATTATACTTCGACGTCGAAGAACTGATTCATTATAAATTACGCGAAACAATAAAGCTTACGCACGAAATTTTTGTCATGAAATTACAAACAGATAATGATTCATGGTAGAATCTGAAGTCTAAACAGTAATCTAAGAATAAGTTTCGCGTCAATGGGTTATCAATGAAAGCGATTCAATTCATTGCCTATTTAAGTAGAGAATTCCAAAGTTAACTTCTTACAAGATTATCTTGTTTGTTATTAATGGCCATCGGATTTGTAAAAAGAACTTTTCCTGCCTTAGAAAATAAATTCATTACGAGTACGAAATTGCATAATTTAAACAATATAATTATGAATATAATGAGAAATTTCTGAAATTGAAGTGGCTGATTCAAAGCAACGCAAAAATGTCCAATGGAGGTAAGTAGTTTTAAATGTACGCAGCGTATATGTCCGAAATAGCCTTCCCTTAAACACGTATAAAGTTCCAAAAATAAGTTGCCCAAAGTCTTCCTTTGAAAGAAGACTCGCGATATTTTACGCGAGCCCTTGTTTAGCACTTAAGTCGCAGCACCGTGTCGGACGACATTTTAAAATTTCACTAAACAACACAATCCGTGGGAACGATAAAAATTGCAATAACGATTTCATTTAATTTTTATCCTTCAACTAGACACCGGAAAATTCCTACTTTGAACAATTTCACGCGACGACATATTTTTTTACAAAATTATAATTAAAATCGTAGCAGAAATCGTAACAGAAATTTCAATACCACAAGGAAATTGCAATTTCTGTTATCACGTTTGTACGCTTGCGGCAGTATTCAACAAACGCGTTCCAATTGCTCGTAATTATTATTATATATTCGCCGTGCATATTGATCGGAAATCAATCGTGATCGTCTATTTATGAAATCAGAACGTCGACGAGAGATATGTAACTCGTATGTCCAACGATTCGGTTCGAGTAATTAGGGAAAATTCAGCAACTGATTATCAATATTAACTGACAGCTTGACGTTTTCATACTAGAACACAGTAAAAAAAGTACAACATAAAGAAATTATTAACACTCTCCTTCAAGATTCAATATCATACATGCTCTTCTTAAAGATCTATGATACGCTAATGCAAGAAACTGGAGATTTTTTTAAATTTTACGATCTGCTAGAATGTACGAGTAGTAGTCCACGAGACAACAGTGATACAGGTTTCACGGTGCAACTTTTATGGAACAATAAGGATTTCCGTCAACCAAACAATAATTACGTGGCACAGCACGTACCTCGGATATGTCAAAATTCCGTATGCCCTTTACTTTGGGACATTTGGTCTTGTCCTCCCGCCTTTTCCACGTAGCGATAGTACAGTCGATCAAACATAGAAACAACAGTAATATTATTATCGGCGAATAGAGTCTCTCTAGTCTCGTACCGGGCTGCATTCTCTCACGGTCACATTCAAGTTCCTATCCGTTCGAACACACGCGGACAGTCTTCTTACTTCTTCGCTCGATAGATTCGCCTGGCCGACTAAAGGCCACCGAGTCGGTTAGAATGAAGAGCGGACGCGCTCATGACTACCACTATCTGCACAAACTACGAAGAGGGGGTGGTCACTATCACGTTCCTCCCTTTGCATTCTTGCTGCTCTTTCGTTTTCAATCGGCAACTTGTTCTCCGCGTCGCGGGTACGATCCTCGTAACTGGCGCCAGCTCAGCTCAGGACTTGCGATCGTAGGCGTGATCGTCGTCACGGCTAAAGAAGGGCATCGACTGTTACACCACCTCGTCCCGCTTACTCTCTTACATCCGACTCATATGTTTGCCATTTTTTTTTTTTTTTTATACCTGTGTACCACTCCGTGTTCAAGGCAAACGCGAACAATGTTCGCCGAAGCTCTATATCCGCGACCAAACGATCGATAATGTTATAGTTGTTCGCTCGTTTCAATTAAAAATACCACATATGAATGGTATACTTCAGCATACATCAGACGTGTGTTCCTTAGATTGCAATTAGATGTCTATGCCGTTTTGTAGTTTCCATAAATGGTACCGATATAAAGGTAAAGGAGAAACGGGAAAACAGAACGTACTATATATGCTTTCGTGAAAATTATTTTATTACACTTTTGTAAAAATTGTATTAAAAAAAATTGTAAAAAACATTGTAAAAAATTGTAAGTAAAAATTATAAAAAAAATTGTATAATTTCGAGATCTTTCACTGCGTATTTGAATTCGAAAAACTTGGATTTAAATCTATTATTAATTAACAATGACGAATGAATACTAAAGAAAGATTAATTTCATACATAATTTAAGAAATTATTGAAACCCTATTATCTTAATGAAACATGTGAATGGTTCGATGATATAACGATATAATTATTTAATGGAATATATCGGTACGTACTTTAAATCACTGTATAATATGAAAAGTAATTTAATATAAGTTAACGTATGGAACTGCAACAGTATGTGCAATTAAATTAATAATACGCTAGTATAAATATTATAGCAATACCATATTTTCCTTTTATAATTGAATGATTAATCTACAATCAGGAAAGTTGAACAAATGAAGGTCGATATCCTATTTTAATGAAATTCGTGCTTCGCCAAATTTACTTTTTGACATTATATATTCATAGTTGTTTTAATCCCACGGAACTCCGTAATAAATAAATTTTAATTTCGTCAAATACAGAAAAATTAATTTTATTTTGTATTTTATTTCCTGTATAAATGAAAGTATTAGTCATAATGGATATGACGTAAATATAGCGATTATACAGAATTTCAATCGAGTAAAATTAATATATTTTTGCATAATATACAATATTTTCACATTCAACACATTCAAGTAAAATTTTTAAAACGAGGTCTTAATATGTAATTAAATTAATGATATCATCTAACTGTAATTTATTACATTAAGGAATTAAAAAATTCATTAAATGCATCAAGCGTATTATTATTTTGATACTTTTAATTTTCATTGGAATGAACGTATTGATTGAATGTACCAATTACCATATAAATTGACGTAGATTTAATTAATATGCTACTTTAGACTCGTTGTATGTTGCGTGTTCTTCTTCTTCGCAATCACTATTCAAGAACCGTTGTCGATAAACAATTCAGTAAGAGTTCGCTGAATAACTTCGACATGCCATCTCGTTGCACGGAAACGTGTTCGAAATAATTTGTCATTTTATTCATGATTCATATTCATGGTATGTATGAGACAATATACAAATATCCTTTTAAATGTATTTTGTACAACTGCTCTCACTGTTAGTGGAACTTTCTACATCTGTGTTTCTGTTACGAAAAAGGTCTATGTTCTATGAAGGATAAATGAGTCATAATATAACATGATCAAAAGCTATTGGCTATTGGTTAGTGTTCAAATTCTAGCCTTTATGTATATACTAGAGTGACTAATTTTTAAGAATTGGAAAGCAATGACGATAACTTTGTCGTTAACATTAGATAAACTTAAACTAACTGAAACTTAAAATAGTCACGAATTTCTTAAGTTACCGCAAACGGTAATTTTATTTATGATACTATCAATATTATTGATATTTTATTAATAAATCGTACTATTCTTTTGAAAAAAGTAAGATTTTTCATTGAATTATAATGTATGATATAATAACGTAGTCATTTTAAAATCATTCTAAATGGGCGTATATAAGTTAACACTGATCTGACGAAACAGATACACACATTATCACTTATGTTTCTTTATCGAACATCCTTTTCCTCTAAATAATAGTTGAGATAATGAATAATTAAGACTAGAATGAAGTTTGGAAAATAAAAGATTATTATTTAAAAAGATGGAATAGTAAAAAATGGATTTATTTATTAATTATTTTATATAAAATATATTTCATTTAAATAAAAAATATTTGTTGTATATATTTTAAATATAGCTAATTAAATGCACTTTAGACATAATCTTATTATGGTCCGCTCATAAATACCATAAATTATTTCCATGGTGGTTTAACTTTTTGTTGTTCTCCTTTTGTTGATATTTTCTGTGAAATTGGAATAAATTCAATGGTATTCTCAGGAATCTAGAAAATATAATTGAAATTTTATCTAAATTATAATATTTAAAAATAATACAAAATAAAATTATCTACCTCTGATATAGGTTGCCACATAATGTTATCATCATCATTTGGTTCCTTTTTCAAATAATGTTTCCTTGGTACTTCCCTACATATTAAAGGTGGACTTGAAATACTTCTTGTAATTTTTGGAAATTCTTCCTTTGCTTGCTGCATCTCAACAATCTATGAAATACCAAATCTTGTATTACATACAAATATATGTATTAAAATCAATTATAACTTACCATTTTCACATATTTTCGGAGATCATCTTTAGAATCTTTTTTACTAGTTAGAGGAGTTTCATCGAATGAAGTCATGGCACATTCTCTTTGATCAAGAAAATTTTTCTCATCCGGTACATGTGACATTAACTTTATTGATTCCTGGGAAACTTTCGTATAACAATTTGGCATTGATTCAGACTTTCTTGGACCTTTCAATTCGAATAATTTTTCAGCATGAATTTTTTGTAGAGGTGTTAAATTTTCCATATTTCCACCTATAAATTAATATGAATTATATTATGAATAGTAAGGTTCAATATAATATTAATAATTCTACCTGATATAATTTGTAAGGCTTGTTGCCATTGTTTCTGCATCACCGAATGAAGCTGTTCTGCAAGTTGTGATTTAGCAGCACGTTGAGATTTAAATTGCGCTTCTAAAAAGGACGATTTCTGCAAAGCTTCTGCTAATTGAAGTTCACATAATGTTTTCTCTTCTTTGTGCTTTTCCTCTAATAAATTTATTTCTAATTTGTGCCTGAATAAATTGTAATAAATAATTATTGCCCTTCTTAAATTAACTCTAAATATATAAAGTTTTACATACTTATCTATAATGTCTTTGATTTTTCTAGCTGCGCACTCAGCAATAACTTGTTGTCTAGTTTTTAGTTCTTCAACAAATTCTGACTCAGCAGCATCAAGTTGAGTTTGAAATTCTTGTAATTTAGCTTTTACTACTTCATCCACTTGTTTCTGATAAATTTCTTGTAATTCAGATCTAATTTTCGCTTTTTGCTCTACAAGATATCTAGTTTCGTCTCTCGCTAATTTTTCTGCTTTTTTTATATCATCGAGAGTCGAAAGGAGTGAGGCATTTTTCTCTTCTAGAATTGAATTTCTATTATTTTCTTCCTTTAATTTCAATTGTAAATTTTCCTTTTCTTGTCTGAGTATGATCAATTCGGCTTCACAAGTATCTAGTGCTTTGTGAATAACATCCATTTCATTTCTAACTTCTCCACCTTTTAATCGTTCTTTGCCTAACTCTTGTTGAACCGTCCTTAATGTTTCTTCAGATTGTTGATTTTTCTCTACTAATTTATTATATTCTACTTTCAATTTTTCATATCTATTTTCTGCTTCTTGCACGAATGATTTATAATTTTCTAATTCATCTGCATGACTTTTTAATAATTTCACCTTTTCCTTCGTTGCAATGTCATTTTTTTCTTTATATCCAGCTGCAAGATCTAAAGCTTTTGATAGTTCACCTTCACAACGTTTGATCTGTGATTGAAACTCGGAAATTTCTAATTGATGTTTTTCTGTTACATTCTTAAGATTTGTCTGTAAAGCACTATGTTCAATTTCTAACACATGTAACTGCTGTTTCAATTTAGACCATGCATTATGAAATTGTGCTATCAATTCATTCTTTTCGTTATCTACTCTTAATGCCACTGCTACTTTCTCTTGCTGTTCTAGTAATCGCTTTTGCAGTTCTTGAATTAAATGTTCACAATGCTGCAAGCAATCTTCTATTCAATACTATAATTTATTAAAAATGTAAAAAAATTGACAATATAAACATCTATATACCTCCCGACGGAATTTTTCTTCTTCTAATTTAATTCTATATATCTCTCCTTCTGTTTTATTACCATTACCTTCCCAGAAGTCTGATAATGACAGAAGCCTTTGGGATTTCCTGAAATAAAAAGGAAAATCACATCATTGTTTTTGAAAATTTTAATGTCAAATACATATAATTTTATTTATAATAAAAAATACCTTGGTAAAAATTCTGTATTTGTTGAAGCATGAGCAATATTCTTAACAAATGATACATCATGTGCTTGGTTCTTATATAGCACATTTCCATTTTGTTGCAAACTTTTATAAGACTCTGGCAAATATAATGAATTACATTCAGTACTTTTCGTTGCAGTATTGCATTGCACTAATTCATTATGTAATGAAGTGTCTAATTTCTTATGTATATTATTTGCTTGAGTATTATGCAGATTATTTATACTATTTACATTGTCCACATTTAAAGGAATTTGTTGATTAATTGGTTCCTCTTTCTGTACATCAGTTGTTTTAACAACTGATTCAATATTGTTAGAGTTCACTGATTTATCTGTACTTTCTACTTCTTCAGTCTTTGAAACTTTATATTGTGTATTTTGTCCCCATGTTTTAAATTCTGAGATTATTTTATCAGTCTCATTCATGTGAAATGAATCATTATATGGCAATGATATATCAGCAAAAACATCAGATTTTTTGTTTGATTTTAATGATAAAATATCGTGAGATTCACTTGAGTCATATGGCTTATATTCCAATTTTCGAATAACAGATTGTTTCTGTGCATTGTCATAGTCTTTGCTTTGAAGACCGT